CCTATATGCGGTCAGGGCTAACAAAGAAAGACACTTGGCTAGGCTCGATGCCTCAGGAAAGCCTCCAAATGTTGGTAGCACTTGGTCAGGCTAATATCCTAACACATGCTGCATCTGTTGAGGTTGTAGCGTGTTCAAGTGGCCCTTGGGCAACCGCCCCTACTTGGGCACGCGTGTGTGCGTGCGGAGAAGCCGGTTAACGGTAGAAAACGCTTGCCTGTGAAGTTCTATGATGTTGAGACAGCGGACGTTGAACAAGGAAGTCGGACAGCATTGTTGGCTGTCGGCCGCAAGCTATTGCTCTTGATACTTTCCCGTCTTTTGCACTTTGGCAACTTAATTTTTGTCTCCCCTCTAGAGGGGCGAAAACTCTGGTTCCTTTTCTTCCACATTGCCAACAGCCTTTGTTAATTGCCTGTCATGCAGAGGCCGCCTTTTTTCGAACAGAGGCAGTAAATCATTTGGTAGAGGTCCATAAATCGCTTGTGTTGCTTTGTTATTATCGTGGTTAGGAACTATCTGTGACTATCCTGTAGTGACAGGCTTCTTAACATACTGACTTTGGTTTCTCGACTCTAGTGTAAAGCAGTGATATAGGCGGCATACATATCGCCCCCTCCCCTTTTCTTTGGCTTCTGATGGTGTCAGTAGATGATTAAATGCTGCTACTATAGGGCGCTTCGCCCTCCCTAATATATATCAGTTAAAAATGGCAATCATATTTAAGATATTTCGTGATTATTGCGTAACTTAAGTCCGAATTAACTGCACTAGGGTACATTTTGGAGCATGCTTCTTGACAGTATTTAAACCAGTCAACTGCCGTTATTGGAAATTTACCAGTAGGCTTGGGCTTCTTTCAGTGGCAGTATTTTGCTGTTACCTATAAAATTTGACAGACTTTAAAAATAACAGTGGAGTCTTCCGTTCAAATCACCCAATAATAGAAGATGTCGTTGCCATTTCTTACTGATCGAACAGATGACTGGCGATCCTTTCATCTGCACCGGCACGTTCTGTCCACGGACTTTCCTGTACGTGATCATCACTGACCTATCGTAATTGCGGCAAGATTTTTCCTCTATAAAGGGACCATGTCGGGGGTGTAAATAGCTGGACACTGTCGCTTCTATGCTTTGCACTAACTCAGTATAAAATTCTCGTAACAACGCTTTGAATGGGGTGCTCTGAAGTAGAAACAAAAAAGTAAAGGTAAGAATCACAATATAGTAGTAGCGCCGAAGAACGTTTACCTGCTAGCCAGCCAACCTCGGCCGCACTTTGCTAGATGAGATTTGTTTATACGCAGGTAGTTTATTTTGGGTGATTGGTTAACCCTGGTAGGACGTTTGGCGCTGGCATTGCCAGCCTTGACACCTTTATGCTCTACCAGCGGTCATTCACCCGATCAAATATTATGGCAGGCCACCAAGTTTGCTCCAAAGGCGCTAAGTAAGCTGCCGGGAGTGGTTGCTGGCGCCTGCCTGTTCGTCCTCTCTCCGATTTCGTCTTGGTCGAATGGC